AGCGCCAATTAGGTATATGTTTGACAGAAGTGTGGTTCCTATTTTACTTCTCACAAATCTCAATTTCCAGACATAATTCAATCACATAGCACCCCGCAAAGAGGAGGATAACATGTAACACAAAATGAAGACTTATGTCATGGAATGAATTCTTCGATGATCTCACTGATAAACAATAATTGAATATTTGAAATTTACATTTAGAATTCATCGAAATGTTACGAAAAGATAAAATCTCTATTCATTATTGAATAGTGACAATCGTAGCAGACATAAACTCCAAAATCAGTAATAGATTATGAGAGAATTTTTAAAGCAATTATCATTTATTCTCATGTATGACTTCATGCTCAATTAGAAGTATTCATTAAACATTCGTATTTATATTAATATCTAATGTCCTTTGTCATCGAATAGATTCTTTCTAGGCTTATCTGAATTTTTTTCTCCATAAATCTTAAGCAAAAAAATAGATTTTTTTTTCAACACTGCAATTAATTCTACATGTTTTTTAAATAATATAACTTTTTTACTTTTTTATCGATATTTTGTTTAATTGTTATTGATTGTAAATCATTTAGAATTGTATTATTCGAATTTTTATTACTATCTTCATGATCATTTGATAAATTTCTATGATATATTGGTATTTCTAAACATGATAAATCTGCTAAACCTTCATCAGCTTTATCTAATTCTGAACCCATAAATTTAAATAATGTTACATGTCCACCACGTCCAGCAACAATTAAATATTTTCCTTCACAACACATTTTTATTGAATAAATACTAAATGGATTATCATCATTCATTAACATTGTTTGTTCATCATTTGTACCACTGTTTGCACGTGTAGATTTTGTATCAAATTTAACATTTGAATTTAATTCTTTATTTGTATTTGTTGTTGTTGTTGGCATAGGATTTGTTGATTGTATACGATCAAATAAACGATTTGTACGTAATTTATATAAAAATACAAGATTACAACCTGATGCATCCCAAAATTTAATTGAACCATCAGAATGACTGATAAAAAAAAATAAAATAAAATGAAAATTTTATTTACGAAGAACAAAAATTTTTTTGTTTTGTTTTTCTTTTTACCCAGTTATAATAAGTTCATTATAACCAAATATCGTTGAACCTGAACGACCACCTGATATTGGATTTTCCTATAAGAAAACGAAAATTAGATCGAAATTATTCACATAAAAAATCAATATACCTGTTGGCTAAATGAACGTTTAGGTGTTTGTTTTGAGTGTAAACGAAGCAGATTTTGATAAAAATTTGTATTTGGTTCTGTTATATAATCACAATAAGTTATTGATGATTCATGTAAATCTAATGTATGAAGACTTTCAAATAAAGGATAACTAAAATTAAATAAAATTAGTTTTTTTTTTTTTTAGGAAACAAAACATACGAATTTTCTTACTTTTCGCTTTTTAAATCAATCATAACAAGATCATTTTCAAGTAAAATAACAACAGCTGATGGATCAGGTATATCTTTAAAAAAATAAAAACAAAGTCAAATTCTATATCAAAAGAATGGATTTTAAAAGAAAACTAACCAGCTATATGTGGGGATGGTGATATAACATGAAAATCAACAATTGCATTATCCATATGAAGAACATTTGTTGTTTGACCACGAAGGATTGTTAAAAAATATGATGATGGTTTTGATGGTTGTATATTATTACCAGATGTTTGTTGTTGATCAGTTTGTGATGGCATTCCTCCAGAAAATATTATAAATGAATCTCCACTAGAATTTAAAAACACAAAAAATAACAGATATTGAATTTTATTAAAATTCAAACACCCATACGAGCTTTTAACAACACTCCAAACAACTTTTGTTATTGGTCCAAATTTAGGTGCTTCATCTTTACAAATACGAGCTAAAAAAAAAAAAGAAAAGTTCAATATTTTTGTAAATCCAAAAAATGTGGTTTTTTTATTGTCATACTATGTGGATAATTTATGCTAACAGGCTTATCAACAGATCGTAAATTCCATACGGATAATGAGCCATCACAATGTGAACACATAAATTGTCGACCTTCATAATGCCATGATAGAGATGTTAAGCCCTATGAATCAGAATTTATTTTGTTTTTTTTTTAAGTTAAATTATTTTAAATTTTACATGTGGTAGTGTATAAACAGTTTCAGATGTTTTTTGTTGTAAATTCCAACAAACAACATGGCCAACTGAAACATTATTTGGTGATGATAAATGTGTACTGAATCCAATGTACAACTGAAAAATAACAAGTCAGATTACTAAAACAGATCTATAAATCATCTCTTTTCTATTCATTAAAGTGCTATTATATATTCCAATATTCTTTACTTCCGGTATTATTTATTCATCTATTCACATAAGATACAAGCAAATAGTATTGTTTCATGTTAAGCATGAGAGAACGAAGAATATCATGTGATCTTGACATTTTTAGAAAGACAAGATTATTCTGAAGAGTACTTATACTATTTTAGAAAGTTTCAGTATCGATTAAATTTTATAATAAATTAAATAAATATTTAATCTTTAATGGAAAAAAAAAATAACTCGAAATCCATAAGATTTAATTGAATTTTGCTTTTTGATTCTCCTACGAATAACTTGCATAAAGTTGGTTAGCTTGGCAAAGTCACGTTTCGGAAGTAAGACACTTTTTTCCGATGAGTTTTAAAACTCAAATATTAAATTAATTATCTTACTCGAGTTGGATCATCAGGGTTTTGACATAAATCAACTACAACTCCTGGATGTGAACTTTTACCCCTATGATAAAAATTTAAAAAAAATTAATTTGTACAAATTAATTTATTATACATACATTCCAATAGCATTATTCCACATAATTTTATATGATGAAAGTGTGAATGTATCAAGATTAACAACATATACATTTCCACAATTAGTACCAACTAAAAGCCATTTTGAATTAAAAGCAAGTGGTAATAAACAACGACTTATTCTTAAAAAATGAAAATTAAATAAGTTAATTATATTAAATAATTATCAAATGATATTTTTGTTTTTTTTTTATGTTATTGATAAGTGTTTATATTATATTTAGAAATATCAGAAAAATGAATTGAAAGACTTTTTAAGATTATTTCATGAGTCTTTTCATCAAGAAAGAAAGAAAAGAAAACTAACAGGAAATATTAAGAGAATGAATCAATATCTCATGAGATTTCATTACAAATTCATAGTTTTAACTTACTTTTCTTTAACAAATCGAAGTGAATTAGCAATAACTGGTTTCTTTTGACGTAAATTCCATAAATGTATATAGTTGTCTCTACAAGCACTTATCAGTGCACCCTTTTAGTAAAATAAAATAAAAAAGAAATTATATTTTATTTAAATTAATAAAACAAAAAAGAAGATTCTACTTCATTTATACGAAAAACTAATTGAACAATATCCACTTCACTTGGATGTTGTAATGAGCATTCAACAAATGCACCACCATAACTAATTATTTGAAAATTTTCTTTATTATTTTATTAACATAGAACTTTAAACTTACATTTTAATAAGACCATGTTTTGTTCCAATAGCAAGAATTTTTTGTACAGGATCATAAGCAACTGTTGTTGGTCGATATGGAAAACCATATCGAACCATCTAATATTCAAATAAATGATTTTTTTATTGAATCAATTATAGACAAAGTAATGTCTTACTTCACTTAATGAGAAATCATCTTTTTTTAATGTTTCATTTATTTCTATTTCATTTATTTTTTTTGAATCACCTAATTTAAATGGTAATTTAATTCGACTTGACATTATGCTAGAATTATTTTTTTTCTCTTATATGTTATTTGGTTGAGAAATCACATGTATAGAATAATAAGTTACATCTAGAAATAAATGAATATTTATTATTAATATGTACGCATCCATATAAATCATATTAAATTGAATTTATATTTCAAATTCTTTTAGTTTTTTTTTCTTTCTATTCTTCTAGTTTTCCGATCAAATTTGTCGTCTTATACCCGATCTGATTGCTCGATTAGAAATAAATAATAAATAGTAAATAATAATTGACAAGTTCTTCTATTTTGAACTAATAACAAAAAAGTTTTAGATAGAGTGCGCAAGTTGACAGTTTATGAATAAATATAAATAATTTATTATTTAATCAAATACAATTATATGGCACTCAAAAAATATAAAATAGCTTAATTTATAAAAAGCCAAAAAGAAGATTATTTTATTTTCAATAAATTTTATTTGTTGTTTAAAAGACACTCTTGAAAACATCTATAGCAATCAGTATACAACACATCCAATCTTAGAAACTGAAACATATCGACAAAAAGTTTTCCATCATCTTTTTTTTTAAATATATATTTTCTATACAACAGTGTATAGATGAAAGAAAATAAACACTTATCAATAATGAAATTCCTACAATTATTTATATTTTTCTGTTAAAATCATGATCTATAATTGTGAATAATAATAATAAACTTATTCGATAGAAAAATTATATTAATTGTCATTAATAAATACTTTATAAAAATGTTGATTTAAATTAATCCAATAAGAAAAAATAAAACTAATGATTAAATTCTTTAGAAGGAAAAAAAAATTATTGATTTCGTGCTAACATAGTATATGCATTTAATTGACTTTTATATATTTATCTTACATTTTTTTTTTTGCACACTAATAATGATTTTTTATTGTTGGAACAAAAATTAATCATGTTTTTTTTGGTATTAATAAGAAAAAAACACTCTTGTAATTTGAATCGCGCTGTCGAACATATGTGTTTCTCGATCGAATAAGAAACGCAAAAAGAAACACTCTTTGTCTTGTCAACATACAAAGTCTTTTTTTGCTGTCATCAGAAAAATAGGATAAAAGAAAAGAATATTCCAGATTTTGTTTATTTATATCCAAGAAAACAATATAGATATGTAGGATAACTCAATATATGAATATATATATATATATTTAACAGTCTTTTATTTCTTGTTTAATTGATAATTTTTTTTTTCTATGTTTTACTAATTGATTTTGATTATTAGTTTCATAACTACTTATTGAACGTTTCAATGATGTTGATTTTATATTAGTTTGATTATTAATTGTCGAACGAAGTTCATTAGAAAATGCTGCCTAATAAAAAAAACAAAGAACAAATTCAATAATTAGAAAAAACCACGTATCATCTAATAAGAGAAATCTTTCAATTCATTAATTACTATTAAGTCAAGACGATATATATACTACAGATATTAATAAGTTATGAATACTCTGAAAAAAGCTTGATTCTTCTGCTCATTGCTACAGACTTATTGCATTTTGGCAGTATTTTCAAGTCAATGCCGTCTTTTCCCTAAGGGACATGATAATAACTGATTTTCGAATACTATGAAAGTTTCAGATCTTTTTATTCTTCTTATTCTAAGCTACAGCTATGACAAAAGTATGTTTTATAAATATCTTATATACATCGACAGATTCGATTTTCTTATTTTAGAATAAAAATAAAACAACAGACCTGAAACTTTTCCAATAAACTATTCTCATTAGGGCTTTTCGCTGTGCAATATGTTAATGCAAAAAAAAATCAGTTTTCATAATGTTTCTCATGAGAACTAAGACATTTACTTTACAAAATTCTACCAAAATGCAATATCTGTGCAGTAATACTCGAAGGATACCGAATTCATTTCAGAGTATTTATCACTTATTAATGTCTGCATAATGTACATATTTCCTATCAAACAGTTACTAATCAATTGAGATATTTCCATCATAAGATGAAAAACTTACAGCTTGTGCCCAACCAGCAAATGGTTTCCAAAGTTGTTCAAAAAATGAAGATATATCATCATAATTACTTGTAGTTAAATGTAAATGTTTTTTTTGTCCATAATATGTTACTGCTATTGAATGTATATGAGTATCGACAGGTACAACATCTTGTTTTCCAAATGACATTAATAGAACACAATCTGCAACCTAAATATTTATTAAAAGACAAAGTTTTATTATTATTTTTTTTTTGAATAGATTTTCTTACTTTTCTACCAACACCCATAATTTTTAATAATTCAATACGGGCTTCTTTAACTGATAAAGATTTTAATCGATCAAAAAATAATAAATCATTAATAGTATATTTAAGATATTTAATTGTTTCTTGAATATATCGAGCACGATAACCAAAATTTAATTCTCGTAAACATTGTTCAAGATTTGGTTTATCAAGTTCATCTGAAAAATTTCAAACGAAATAAAATCTTGTTTTTTTTTTTTTTTGTAACTAAAATACCTATTGTTGGAAATTCATGATAAGTTATACCATTCAATGTACCAATTTGTTTTCCATATTTATCACAAAGTAATTTAATCATTTTTGTTATACGCTGTACATTATTATTACTTGAACATATAAATGATATTAAATTTTCTAGAGGATCTTGTGCTAAAACACGTATACCAATTGGTATTAATCGATTTTGAAATCTTTCATCAGATTTACACCATATTTGAAATAAATCATGAAGTTTTATCGATAATTGAAAATAATTATGTAAGATAAGAGATGTTTCAGTTTGACGATCATTTTCATTTGATAAATTTAAAAGATTCTTATTTGAAATATTCGTATAAAATGTATAATGAAGATTTTCATTTATATGTTGTAAACGGATAATATACGATCCAAGAACACCAACAAATTCATTCGATATTTGTTCTATCCATCTGTTAAATATGAAAATAAAATGAAATATTTAAGAAAAATTTACCGAAATGATTGTCCACCAAGTAATGTTTGTTTTAAATTGAGTTCAGTAAAGGATATTGGAATTGAACTTGAACAATAATGAATAAGATTATCGGAAAGTATGGTAGTAACTGGTGATGGTGTTAAAGAACTCATCGGATAAATATGAGATCTAGAATTGAATAGATATCATATATTTTATAGAATGTTCATGTATTATTGTTGTGTTTAATTCACCTCAATTTTTGTTTTTTTCGTAATAAATAAATGAACATTATTTGAGTAGAAAAGCGATGAATTCTTAAAGAAACTCTTGAATAGACACTTCAATATGATGAGGCTTTTTTTGTCTATGAGAAGTTATGTGTCAATAATAGAAAGAAAAATATCGTCCTAAAAATGAAAATAAAATAGATTAAAACTATTTCCTCTGTCTTGTTTCCCTATTAGAACGATTCATCTCTTTTAAAAAATTTAAAACTATACTTTTTTCAACTTTTCATTATAGTCGAATAATTTAAAAGATGAACATTATAAAATTTTGTTTTACATATTCATTATCGAATATACTACCTCGATGTAAGAAACATACATTACATAAAACAGATTTTTATCAATGTTTGCAAATCATCACGGAATACTAAAATAACTAGATTAATATTTTTATTTAATTCAAATAATCTATCTATGATAATATCATGATTGATATAGTTAAAAACAACTAAAATTTTCATCATTTAACTATAGTCAATCTTTTATTAAAATGTTAAATGTTAACTTCATTCTAATATTCTTCTTTCTATCTATAGAAGTATTTATTTGAAGTAATCATGACCAGAGAGACAAAGACAAAAAAAAACAGAATTTGTCATCTATTTACAATCACATTTACAACAGTAGAGAAAAACAGAAGTTAGTTAATATCAATTATAGCAAGAAAGAAAAAGAAATAGATGAACTCGATTTAATTTGAAAGGTTTTATTTTTTTGTAAGATAGATTAACAAATAACTTATGTTATATGTTTTGCATATACAGCAACAATAGTTTTGTCTGTTTGTTGGATAAGTACCTGACTATAATGAAAGATAAATTAATATAATAAATAAAAATATTTTTCATACGCTTCATTATGTTCAAGACAAACAGTTGTTTTTCCACCTGATAATGATTCTGCAAATTCAGCTAATAATGCTATTGGTCCAGGAGATATTGAAACATCTTTACCTGTATTTTTTAAATTAAAATCAAAAATAAACAAGAATATTTAAACAAATAAATCAATATTAACTTGCTAATAACAATCCATTTTTATCATGAACAAGAATACCCTTGATTCCAACACCAACCATAGTAAATTTTTCTATCCTAAAAATAAGGGAAAATAGATAAATCTTCTGTTTAAAGATTGTTCCATAAGTATCGGCTTCATTTTTTTTGTTATCTGTGCCATAATTTAAGGTGAATAAACATTGGCAATATATTTTTGAAGAGTATCATCTAAGCTATTATCCAACAAAAATTGCATTTAATTTGCATCAATCCTCAGACAATGCTACATTAGTAAAAATATTCAAAGAAGTTTTATTGTTTTCTTTTAATCTTTAATATCTGTATTTTCAAATATGGAAGACATTGTAATGAAAATTAGTGTTGACAATATCAAAATATTACAAGTGAATTAGTCTAATCATTATTCATTATATGTTAAGATAAGAATATAGTTATAGTTTAAAAATGACAATCAATCACTCATTCACTACAAGTCACTGTCGTAGTTCTGCTATTATAGCACGCTATTAATCATGTGAGAGAAAATTTGAACATCCATTTTTCTCGTGTCAAAAAAGATTTGACCAAAACTTTTCAGGTCATGGTAACATTCAGTAAACCATAATGAACCAATGCTACACGCCATGTGTCAATCTTTCATGTATCTAATTGTTTATGACACATTGATTAAACATATAGCCTCTAAACTTCTGTCCCTCTAGTTTGAGCATGCCATTTTGGTACTGTTATCGTCTATATGTCCATGAAAATAAAATTTCTCTTAGCTGAATAGCATACTTCAAGAATAAAACAACAGAAGGGACTCACAGTAAGTGAGTAACTGCTTTGTCTCGTAACCATGACCGAGAAAAAATTTTTTAAAGAAGCTTCACAAAACTTTTTCAATATCTATACTAATGCATCACTTAGGATTGATGCGAATTGAGTGCAATTTCTCTTGAATGATGCATTAGATATTACTCTTCAAAAAAAAAATATCATCAATGCCCACACATATTTTAATACGACACAGATTTTAAAAAATGAGGACGATACCTATTGAACACTTATTATGTTGTTAAATAATGGTATACATACGCATTATCAATTAAAGCGTCAAATTTCTTGTCCATAATTTATCTATTAAAAAAGAAACAGAAGAAAATTAGAAAATGTTTGTTTTCTTTCCCGGAAGTAAAATCACAAACACATGTTGTTTTTTATTTTTACAAAACTCTTATCATTATGAATGTGATAAAATAAACGAGAGAGAGAGAGAAGGAAATCTAAGAACTAAGAATATCATATTCAAATCAAACCAAATCATTTAGCTATTTATTCTTCATTATTAACAATTTCTTTATGAGTTGGATCATTTCTAATGGCTTCTTCTTTACGTAATCGTCGTCGACGTAAACGTAATTCTCTTTCATATTCTTTAGCATCATCAAGTTTACTAAAAAAAGAAAAATTCCTATTTTCATGATATCAATAAACTTTAAACTAACTTGTTTATTTCACATTTTTCCCATGCATGTCGTTCAGGCTCACAATAAGCGTATTGTGATGGCCAATATTGTTGCGTGCAAAGCATTACAGCACGAAAATAATGTGCACAATAGTCACGTTTATCATGAGGAATATTTAAAATTTGCATTTCTTCTTCAGTATACGGTGCAACTAGAATAAGAATAAAGTTTAGATAAGAAATTCAAAAACGAACGTTTTCTTTTTCACATAGACATCATCTTCGATGAGATGTCATATGAAGATAAACTTAATGATCACTGGCAACTGACTACAGATACAACAATCATACGATTTTGTAATCATTGGCTTTTCTTTCTGGATAAATAGAAAATCATTACAAACTACAACAATTTTAATAATCAGAGATGCACTTACAAGCCTCATTGTTACTCTCAATGAAACGGATAAATGCTTACTAAATATACAGTACTGATAAAGGTTTTCATCATTTAGATACGTCAATGATAAAATAGTAAATGACATTGAAACATCGATTATTTTGAAATTGTTCCTAATCTACTCGTTGGAAAATGTTACATGCTAAATCAAAGTTGTTTTTTCGAAAACTATCCTTACTTTATTCAATGACAACTATAAAATCTTTAAATTGACTATAGGAAAGAAGCAGCCAATCAAGAAAACAAAGTTCAAATCTATGTAAGAAAAAGAAAAACATCATTTTATGTATATAGATTACTAAGCCATCATCACATACAATTATCTTTAATATCTGAATAACGAATTCAAGAGTGCAATAACAATATATATGTGTGTGTAGGCGTTGTAATCAAAATAAAACTTTCAATTTTGACTAGACAAAATTAAACTTTTTTCTTTGTTGATGAATACAAAAAGGTTAAGAAATGCAACCAATTCTATTACAAACAAACTTTTTTTATTTCAAAAAATTGATTACCAAATATTGTATGAAGATGTAACGGATGCGCCCGGATGAATGGCCGCGTTTTGCATTTCAATTTTCATTCACTTAATATGCAATATTAAAAAAAAACAAAATACACCTTAAGATGCAGCATGAAAAGCTCTACAATTGAGACAACATAACTTTTATTATAGTTGCACTTTTTGCTTTCAAAATAGACAAAATTTGAAGCAATCAAATATCAACTGTACGAAAATTGATCGCAGAGAATTTTCCTTTTTTTTTGAAAACAATTACAATAAGCTTTAGTGTGTAAATTGTAGAGCTTTTCACGTTGCATCTTGTAGTTTATTTTATTTTTTTTTTAATATAGCATATTAAGTGCATGAAAATTGATACGCAAAACGTGACTATTCATCCTGGAGCACCCGTTAGTTGTAAGAAAATCCCCATCCTAACTTACATCGAAAACTGAATAGCCACACATCAAACACAATCCATATCTATACTCTTTGTTATCAAGATTTTACCATTTCCTGTTCATCAGGAAAAAAAAACATTCAATCTCATCTAGCGCAGATTTAAAATTGGACTAAATTGCAATTTTGCCGAGAAAAAATAATAAAATATAACCTACTTTTATTGCACTGCTGTTAGAAGAAAACGATTAGGTCTCATTTAGTCGAAAAATAACATTGCAATGAAAAAGTGAAGAGTAGATGAATCTGTTTGATTAGATCTTTTTAAACTTACTAATCAAAGATAATAGTTTTAATAATCCTCCGTGATCTTTTTTCAAACCGCTTATTACAGAGCAGTATTAGTTACCCATACAAAAAACATGTGTAGAAAAACAAAAAAAATATTTTTTTTATGCTATTTAATCATATACATTTTGTTAAGATACTCTTCCAATGTCAGTTTTTGTTGTCCAGAGTGTATGTGTGGGAGTGAATGTAGGTTTGAACGAAGAGTATATTCTCACCCTCACCCTTAATCAATTGCTTTACAAAAAGTATTGCTTAAGTCAATCGAAGCAATTAATTTAGTTGCTTTGATCGAAGTTTTTTCATTACAGTTTAATTGTTCGACGAAACGAAAATGCACTAGGAAAAGATCCAATTTAGCTGAGCAACATTTGATAGATCAGCGATGGAACTATTCTGGATTTTTGGCTATGATTACTAGTTACCGACCGATTAGAAATTCTTGTCAACACTTAATTGACAAGTTGCTATACTATTCCATCTGTGAATAGTGATATTGAACGTAGTCAATTTTCACGGAAGTTTCATTACACATCTTCTATGAAATAATAAGAGCAAAAAAAAAATAACTAAGACAAACCAGTCTACCGGCAATCAGCTGATAAATCGATTCCATCTTTGTGGTAGATGCTCATCACTTTACATCTTATTAGCATCTGAAGACAGATATTTTACGTTTATCAGCAATCATCTCTTACTGATAAGTGCTGAAATGGGAAGAAAAAAAAATAGCGGCTAGAATAACAATTCTATGTAGTTACTATGTCTAATTACATAGTACTTGTTGAATGAAATCGGCCGTTTTTTTAAATACAGTCCAATATTAAGATGCATATTGTTCGATTGTAATCAACAAAAACCTGATACTTTCAAGCAAAAAAGATTAACCAATGTCAAATTCCAGACACATCCATAATCATCTATTTATTTTTCTTTTGCACTTACTTTTTGGTTTTCGACCATCAGGAAAACCATACATCTTAATAAAATATTCATAGAATCAAATAATCTCACAGATTTTCTATCATACCGGATCAAATGTTGGACCTTTTGCTTTATCAGGATATTGTTCAGGATGTCGAGCACGATCAATCGTGCCACTTATGTTAAGACCCATTCTATTTCTTTTTCGTTTTAAATCTATTAATCAAAAAAGAAAAAGAAAAAATACAAATAAAAAACAAAGACAATCTAGAATAAGAAAACAAACACGTCAGATAACATTGTATTTTCTAAATAAGAAAGGAGAGAGAAAAAAAAAATAAATGATTATAATTACAAAACAGAAAAAAAAACCCAAAGTTTTTTCTTTTAGAAAAATGAGCCATAAATTTGTAGAGCTAATTTTGGATTATTTTTTTCTAAATGATTAAATGCTGGTGTTTTTAATAAATCTGAATATTTATGAAATAGACCAAAGCATTTTTCACGTAATTCATCACATCCATGATATGTATCTAATAAATCTAAATATGAGAAAACATTATCTTTATTAATATGATTTCTTAGTAATTCAATAAGACATTGATGTTTAAGTGAATCAATTAAAAATCGATCAGATAATTTAAATAATTCAATTAATAACAATTCATCATGAATAGCATGTTCAATACGATTTGTATAAAGATATTTTAGTAAAATATCAAATGCATTTACATCAATATCACCACTTAATTTTAATGGATTATTTGTACAATCATTAAAATGACTTCCAAATGATGTTTTAAAATAATCAGAACGTAACATAAGTATATGTCGATGTGCATGAAATGTATGTGTACCTATTTCAATTTTTATATCATATGGAATTGTCTTATGAAATAATTCAAGTAATGATAGATCATTTTTATCAATTGAATTTTGTTGATCATTTATTGATGAATATAATTGTGGTTCAATTGATTCATTTGATAATATTCTATTATAAGTACATTTAATTTTAATTCGTAATTTTTTTATTGATGATATATCATCTAAATCAAGACGAAGTTTAACATAACGACGATTATTTACAAAGCCATCATCACTATATTCATCACTGTCATATAAATCAACTTCATCTGGTACACGAGAATAAACAATTTGATTTTCATCACTAAATATTAGAGAAAAAGAACAAAATTTTAATTACATCTGATTATTTCTATTCAAATTTTAAAGTGTTGAACAAGATTGAGTAAAACTGTATAGAAGTACATTACACCTGATTGTTAACAAACTATGTTTTTAGATCTATGAAATTATTGTTTAACGCAATTTAGGAAATTTCTAATGAGAAAATATATCCAACTAACGAGCATCGTTCGAGTTCACCAGCTCTTTCGAACTGGAACTGTTACAATTCTAACCACGGGTCCGAATTTTTTAAAGCTTGACCAAATTTCATGAAGATCTACTTGTAGCTGTAATACGGAGTTGAACGATGTTCAACACTTGAATATGCTCTCTCGTCAATAATTTTTGAATGCAAGATTTCAATCTGTATTTTAATTGACAGATTGAATAAATCTATCAAAAATTTCCACAAAAAAAAACTAATTGGAAAAGTTTTAGTTTTTTTCATGATTGTTGAATTTTTCAAAATGAATAATTCATCGATTTATTATTGTTAGGTTTAAATATTTTAGAGGGTCACTTTTTAACACTAATCTAATGATTAAATGAAATGTTTATCAAATATGAAGTTTCTTTTTTTCTGTAACCATTTGTAGAATGGTTACAGAAAAATAAAAAAAAAATGTGAAATTAACTATCAATTAATAAGAAAATATTTTGTTTTGTATTGCTTTATCTTCGAAAAAAGATGAGTAACAAACTCAGTAACTTTCGAAGGTTTTTCTACCAATCAACAAGCTATACGAGGGTAATATATTGTGTGATATATAATGATGGCAATGTCTACTATTGGTACCAATACTATTCAAAAGTTTCACAATGGCTAGAGAAAACACAGATGGTAAAACTTAGAATGATCGCTACAAATTTTTCACAAACATAAAACTTTTCATTTTTTTTAGCGTCTATAAACTTGGTATGAAATTTACTTATATCACACGAAATGATAGCATGAATTCTTATCGATAAAAAATGAAACGTTTCCGAGCTTTTTACGACATTTTTTCGTCGAACTATATCAGGTCGTTGTAAGGCGTAAATGTTTAAGATTCTATACAAACTGTGATTCTAATAAGCCAACATTTCTTCATAATATATTTAAGATATTATTAAAGTTTTCTCACCTGGAAAAGTATTGAAAACCTTAGAAAGGAAATATACATTAGATACGATGTTCTAATTCAGAACTTCCAGAGTACACTTCTTATTTGACTCTGACAGTGACTAAAACACTTAACTGTAATTATGATAAACAATACTTCATAAATAATTCATATGGAACGAAACTAGGATACTTATCGAAACTAATTTTCTACATATAAACAAGGTTCTTTTTATAATTATTCATTACCTAAAGAAATAAAACGAGAAGTACTTTCTGAAAATTTTTTTTGTAAGAATTCAAATGTAAAAAGAAATGTCTTCATATTTGAATAAATTTTTTATCATACTTACTGAGAAATTAATTTACTTGTTTGACTCATAATATTTGTTCTCGATGATTTTCTTGATGGATTTGATAATGAATTATTTGCTGTTGAACTATTTGTTGTTGATGCTGATGTACGTATTTCATTATAACATTCAGCTATAACTTCAAAACACCGTCTTTCAGTTAATGTTAATGGAAATTCCATAATAACATTAATTAATATATGTCTACGGCCGGGTTCAATAATAAAATTATATTTACAAGCTTCATTTCGTATTTCATAATCGGGTCTATAAAGAATTTAAAATAAATTTATTTCTTATTTTAATTGTTTAAAAAATAATTCATCGTACGTTTCTATATGTAGATATCTGAATACTTTGGAATAATTATTTATTATATATTCATGTTCATATCTTGATGTATCAATATCGAAATGTGTACGAGTTCGATAAATAGCCATTTTATTTAATCTAGAATTTAAAAAAGAAAGATTTTCTTATTTATTCCATTGAATTCAAATTAAATTAGAGTATATCTCGATGTTTCATTCAATTAAATGGATATCCATTAGCTATTAATCAATAATCGTATGAATTAAATTCAATAGGTTTTTTTTTAATATAAGTATCAATTATAAAACTTCAAATTTTAAAGATATTTAAAATTCATTTAATCGTATACTTCGCTAATCATTTGTATGCAATTGATTAATTTTCATTTTTCGTAGACATATATGATATTTACACTATATATTTTAAGTTAGTATTAAAATGAAGGAATTAATTCTTATAGTTATATGGAAATTGAAGTTTTTTTGATATAGATAATTATTCTAAGAATCGACATACAAGGTATGGAATAGGAAATTTAATTATATCTTGTCAAGAAAGAAAATCAAGTTATACAAACCATCCACCTGCATGCTATTCTCTTTTGTAACAAATTAGAACTAGTTTGATGTCATCGTCATACATTTTTGAAAAAAAATCTATTTGTATATTGAGTTTAATCGATTCATGAAGAATATGAAGATAAATATTCATGTGTACATTCTATTGAAAAAGGATTCCACGTATATATATTCTGTTTTTCGTCATTTAATATAGTAATTAAAATTTTCGAATTTTGAAAATATTATAACTTATAGGTAAATTATCTCGATTACTATAAACGAAAGTTTCGACCACACCTGCATATGCAATTAAAAAACTACTCATTAAATAATTCAATTTCTTCTGCTTTTAAGTATTCTGTCTTATGAACACAAAATCACAACTAAAAAAACATGATTCGTCAGTATCACTACCACTAACATTTCAAAGGTTTCTATCAATAGTAGCAAGGATATTTATTAAAGATATATCTATATATGAAAAGATTTAATTATTTCAAAGAAATATATTTATAT